AATATAGATGACCTATTGCATACAGTATGCAAAAAAAAAGACAAAACACAAAAACTTAACTTTGACCACTGAACCATGAAAATGAGGTCAAGGTCAGATGACACCTGCCAGTTGGACATGTACAACTTGCAACCATTCCATACACCAACTATAGTAGACCTATTGCTTATAGTATCTCAGATATGGACTTGACCACGAAAACTTAACCTTGTTCACTGATCCATGAAATGAGGTCGAGGTCATATGAAAACTGTCCGACAGGCACAAGGACCTTGCAAGATACGCACATACTAAATATAGTTTAATAACCTATTACTCATAATAAGAGAGAAATTAACATTACAAAAAATCTTTTTTTTCAAGTGGTCACTGAACCATGAAAATGAGGTCAAGTACATTGGACATATGACAGACGGAAACTTCATAACATAAGGCATCTATATACAAAGTATGAAATATCCATGTGTTCTACCTTCTAAAATATAGTTTTTAAGAAGTTAGTTAACGCCGCTGAATCACTATCCCTATGTCGAGCTTTCTGCAACAGAAGTCGCAGGCTCGACAATAAAAAATAAATGTTTGGGACCGATGGGGCATGAATGAGAGTGAGATAAACAACAGATATGTATAAAATCTTTATTTTGACATTCATGTATAAAAATATCATCGACTATCAATGAATGATTGGGACTAATTCTAGCAGTTGACTATTACAGAGTTCAATATTTCAATTATGGTTTGTATGGAGACCATAATGCATGACATTAAGAGTTAGTAACATCCTTTCCAATATAAAAAAAGTACTTCAAATCTTTACATTTTTACTATCAAATTTAGAAATATAAAAAAAAGGCTGTGTTGCCTATCATTGATAAATTAAAAAAAAATAAAATGAACGAAAACTACTTTTGAAACAACAAAATATAAATTGTGGTCCTATGCATTATGATATATCTTTTTAAAGGAGTTATATTCATTCAAGTATAACCAATATACACACTTGTAAGCCTCAACTCCATTGAATATCTACAGACATATCTAAAAGATCAAGCTAACTGTTTAAATTTGAAAGGGAAAGAAGAAAAACAATGGGTAACACTATATCCCCTAGTCAATGTGAGTGTTCAGGCAGACAAATTTTCACAATTGATTAATATATATTTCTGGAGTCAATTGAATTTGCATACTTCGATATATATATTATAGACATCCTTAAACAAAATTTATTGAGCCTCTTTCAAAATTGTATATTTATGTTTCTTCAAAATATGCAAAAATAATAATAAGTCAACAATACATAAATTGATGAAATTGTGACATGGTTGAAAAGAACCACAGATAAGTTCAAATGTAATGGTAAAATATCAACAAAATAACACTTTGAATAATAAAAACATGAACAAACAAATAAAAAAAAAAAATCATAATTGAAAAATCAATAAATGAACTAGTTCTGTGTGGCATAATTCAAAAAGCACCTTTGTTAACAAATAAGATTCTGTTTCTTCATAAAAAATTTGAACACTTAAATTATAGCTGACAAATATTATAACTGAGGTATTGAATAATTTTTGGAACACAACATTATGGCTTCTATCACAGTACCTAAACAGTGTGCAATTTTGAAACTTGTTTACATATATTTGAATCAGTATGCAAGTTTTAAGACAATTATATTTTTAATTCAAATAGAAGTGGAATAAAAGATGTCAAAATAAGCTTTCATTAAATTTTCAAATACTGTAAAGTTAGAAATAATTGCATGCATTTATTATCGCGATATTTTATGAAGACAATAATGCAAGTTTAATAATTGCAATTTCCGGAAATTCTACATACAGATATATGTAATAGATATCAGAATGCGAGTTAATATCATTGCGATACTCATTCAGTCACATTATTCGCAATAATTTTTGAATTTACAGTATCATATTGAGGTAGATGAGATTGAACAAGGTGCGACTTTAGATCTTTGATGTGTTTTAATTTTGCATGTTATAATTCATACTATTTGGATACCGTGACAAAAGTACTAAGCAACAATTTATGTCAACGAAGGCAGTGGTGTAACCAAATGAATAGCTACCAATTCAACTTCATACAGCAAACTACTGAAAGTAAAAATACCCAGTAATTAGATGACTATACGGTCAATAAAATGCATTTTAACAGACTTGAAAAGATATGTCATCATAACAGTGATATCATGTATAACTATCGAAAACACTTACATGTTTATTTATTACTAGCTTACTGCATTGTACTTCAATAAATACAAATAAAAAATTTTATTCAGACTTAAATGCACAAAATAGACACCTTGCTGAAAAATCTACTACAAAGACCAAATTCAGCAGTAATGATAATCTTGTAAATATCAATGCATTACCCAGTTTGTTTTTAAAGATGCCCATATAAGGTTAAATGCTAAATTGACATTTCATATACAGAAGGAAAAAACATAAATGTGTGGCATGTATCTTAAAATAAATCAATGTTTAATATCTAAATCAGAAATAAAAACTGAAATTATTCATTTTCTTCCCACAATTTTCAAAAAAATATAAATAAAAGTACAAATACAACAAGTTTGACAGTTATACAAGTATAAAGTAGAAATTGAATGATTCATTTCAAGCAAGAATATTAACTAATACTTATCATCGTATAAAAATCACATGCATACATGTATTTAAAGTATCGCTTAAATTCTTCTTTATAAAAACTTTTATTTTTAACATTTTCAAAGAGGAATTCAGACATAATTAAATTCTTATTTATAAAGACTTTATTCTTAAGGGACCACAGATTTATTCTAACGAGGAAGCTCCGAGCATGCTCGGGGGATGCTCGGAGCTTTTTAAGTAGGCTCTTCTCAGCAGTTTATGTGACAATAATTATCATGATCCATTAAGATGTCAATCAAATCTATAGCACTTCTATAATAAGGAAAGTAGAGCATTAAAGAGGAAGCTCAATTAACACCTGTGTAAACATCTGGTCTATTGAAATGAATCTTGCATTAATTTTACAAAACTACAAAATAGATGAGAAATTCTTCAATAGAACTGTACAATGCTTGGAAAGAAATATCAAGTCTTCACAGAAAGAAAATGTTTTTAAAACATTTTCTGAATAATTATCATTCTTTTTCAATATAAAAAAAATACTCAAATTTTATATTTAAAATATAGATATATTTTAAATTTATACTATATAAAATAAAATATAAAAATCATCAAAGACACAAGCTATGGTTATTTATTTATAACCATACTACCAAAACATAGTACATTCAGTTTCATGTATCTTGGGTGTTTCAAAGCAATAAAGAGATTCTATTTGGTGTTCTATAAAATATTTTGGAAATTTTAGGGGACATGGCTACTAAAGCTTGTAAACAGGGAAAAAAGGGGAGAGAATTTCATTGGTTAACTTCTGGTGATGTTTACTTTCTTATATGCACTGAAAAGTTATGTTGTATTTTTACTGTAGGACAGGACAGGATAAATCTTTACTCATGTCAAGCATTTCTTTATTTATAACATAGATAAATTCTGCACATTTTTTTTGAAAAATACCAATTAAACGAAGACTGATAGAGGAAAACAATTTTATGTTAGATTTTCACTGTAACACTGGACAGGATAAAACTTTACTCATGCCAAGTATTTATTTACTTAAAACAAATCCAAATCTGCACAATTTAAAAAAAATGCCAATTAAAGAGAGACATACTAGAGGGAAAACAATGGTGGTATTACCCCCTCAAACCAGCCGTCCAATACTGAATTACAACTTTTCCTAAAGTAGCCATCATTTTATATAAAAAAAAACATATTACCATTGTTTAGTTAGAGGCACTACTTAAACAAGTAATTTTCAAAATTACCTATACAAGTTATGTTGAAAATGAGGCTGTTTCAAATATTACTAAGTAACTTCTGTTAATATTATTTTTATATGTGTCCATTCATACAGGTTTTACTAGCGTTAACAAATTTTCACAGACATCTGGTTATTTTCCCAATGAAATATTAAACTATTTAAATCCTCCTGAAACACTAATTGCCTTTCTGATGCCACACTTCTTGGTCAACGATTGGTCTCTTGGGGCTATTAAAATATCATTTTCCCTTAAAATCTAAGAGATGGACAGGTATGAATAGATGGAACCTTATGATTTAATTAAGACTTGAAGTTATTTATAATTTGTAATCTTTATCAAAAACAATTACATATGTTCCTTAAATAATTGTAAGTACTAAGTTTTTCAAAGATATATAAAATAATTTATAACAGTAATATTTTTGTTATTATTTTAAAGTAACCTCTCTATACTTATCTCAAATTGGATAAATACTTAATTTTATTTAATGAAATGATCTCAAAATTCTTAAAAACTTCATTTAGTCCATGCTTCTTTTGACATTTAAAATAACTATTGAGTTATTAAATAATTTTTAAAAACAAAAAATACCTATATAAGTAACTAAAAAAAATAACTTGTTTAGTATTGCCCCCTGACTGTTGTTTGTGTCTTGATAACTTTTATGTAGCATATTATATAATATAAACTATATTTAAATCATATCAACTCATTACAAAATTTGAGAATTTTTTTATTATAAAAAAAAAAAATGATTATTAAATATTTATAAGAAAATATTTGAATGACTTTTACTTTTTGTGGATACTTGAGATTTCTTTCCAATCATTACACAGTACTGTTGAAAAATTTCTTATCTATTTTATAGTTTCATAAAATTTCATGCAAAATGTATTTGAATAGACCAGATGTTTACACAGGTGTTAATTGAGCTTCCTCTATAATGCTCTACTTTCCTTATTATAGAAGTGGTATAGATTTGATTGACATCTTAATGGATCATGATAATTATTGTCACATAAACTGCTGAGAAGAGCCTACTTAAAAAGCTCCGAGCATCCTCCAAGCATGCTCAGAGCTTCCTCGTAAGAATAAATCTATGATCCCTAACATCTTGATAGAGCAATTCAGACATGTTCGAATTCTACTCTTTAAAATACACTGGTAATTTAAATAATATTCCTGGGTATTCTAAAATAATAAATAATCAAAACATCCACATGCAACATAACAATCATAAATATAAATCCATTCAACATGACAATCAAATATAACATTAGACACTAAAATGACATAACTATTGCACTGCTTGCATACACACATATTCATCTGACAATCATACACATCTTGACTCCTATCAGTGAAATCCACATAGAATTTCTTGCCTTTTATCTTCATACAGTTGTGTTATCTCTGAGTATTCTTTGTTTGCATCAAGCACCTGAAAGAAATAAATATCACCAGGTATAAACTTTAACATCAAATAAATCTTTTATACAAAATATGAACAATATGAATCAATAAAATTCCATGGCCAGTAGGATAATAAAAGATAAAAGTTCAAAGTATTGGCAAACGGGAAGTGACTGCCCAACAGATCTTAATATTACTTAGAATAGATGGTACAACTCAACATTATAAAGTTGCACACTAAATATCAAATTACAGAGTAATATACAAGGAAAGTTCAGGACCAAAGGAGTCTGATATTGCAGTATACCATCCGACTCTGTGTGTAGGGGTATGATACAACTCAAGTTAGTGGACCCAAACTTTTTTAAATTGTCATAGTGGTTTAAGAAGATTAATCCTGCCCTTCACATTATACGTGAATTCAAATTTGACAAAAAGATGAATGTTTTATATAACCCAAAAGTCAATTGACAGCCAATTGAATGATTTTTTTTTATTCATTTATACGTTTTTGATTTGTAATAAATTTTAAAAATCGTTAATAGAGGACTTAGTTTATAATATATGCATGCATTGGTATGCACAGAATGTTTTGACACTCATTTATGACTTTAAAGGTCCTGTATATTCTGTGGTTGATGCCATATGTTATTTAATTTGCAAACGTTTTATATACTGTAAATTCAGAAATTATTGCGATTTTTGAAGAAAGGACAAAAATGCAAGATTAATTATTGCAATTTCAGGAAAATCTGCATCAGATATCATAATGCGATTTCTTATTACTGCGATAATCACCAAGTCGCAATATTTGAATTAAAACTTCACAATAATTTCTGAAAGATTCTCTTTTCCCTTTAAGTGCTGTTCCATCTTAACATATATAGTACCCAGAGAAGACATTTTCAAAACGGGGTAACTTTCAGAGGCAAATTCAAAATTCCACTCACATTTCACAGTACATGACTCAATTTAATTTAAGATTTAAAATTGCCTTCCCTGGGTCCCATGTGTATTTAAATGGAACAGCCTGTAGGTCATAGAGATATTCTGTTGATAACTTACCAATACAGGGGCTGGAAGTTTAAATTTCTTGTGTTGTATCAACCATTCTTCGTGCAAGTCATGTAAAGACTGGATTAATTCCTAAAATACAAAGTTATAACCATTCTTAATGAAGTTATGTAAATAATTCCAACAATAAAAGGTACACATTTTCAAGTAAATAAAATACAAAATCAGCTCCTTCATTACAATGTCAAGTGATTTTGTTCTGTGACAATTTATCTAAATGACAACTGATATGTAGAGGCATACACTACCTATGTAAAGAAATACAACATTTCTGTTGTTTATATTACATTTTTTTCAGAATCATTTATTGACTAATTGTTGGTGTTGACGGCACTTTCAGCACTCTTGGTTATCTCTTGGTGGCCAGTTTTTATTGGTGGAGGAAGCCAGTGTACCTGGAGAGAACCCGCAACCTATGGCAGAAATTAATCATTTTTTATTAATATATACATCTATTAAAATCAACTTACAAATGGAACACAACACTCCTCCTTCCTTGATCTTTTCTTTATTCTGTTGAAACATACTTGTGGATCAGCCCTGAGGTATACTAAAAATAAATCACACCAACATAAAAAAAAAGAACAAATGCATAAAAAAAACATACAAGTAACAAGTCAACATCAGTTGAATAAGGGCACAACATGTAAAAGAAACATATACTATTAAGATGCATACAGTAGGGTTCAAAATAATAAATTCATCAAACCTGTATAACAAATTGCATATTTACAGGCCAGTTGATATCAGATACCATTCCTTCCTATACATTCTTATTATAAATTAACAAAGTTTAAATAACCAGCAATACATTTGCATTAGTGAATACAATGGTTTCTAAAAGACTTGCCAGGTTGAATTTGATGCAAGAATTTCCTCCAACATCAACTGAGGAACATATTAAACATCATTCAATGAACTGTCAATTTTATTAGGTCTTTCCACTATTCCGTGAAAAAACCTTTAGCTTTTGTTCTGATTATTTTTTTTTCTTCCGCTTAATTTTTTTCTTGTGCTGTATTGTTGTTCCAAAAGATGTCGAATAGATTTTTGCTATATGATATCAAACAGTTTATATGCTTTTGAAACTGACACTGCTTAACCGAAAAAAATTTCTTTGTAAGAGTATCTCCCTGAACAGTGTTTTTTCTTGTGTGCACTACTCCTTTCGCAACTTTAAAAGATTACGACACAAATTATTTTACCAAATTGCACTTTTTATCCTCTGGTTGTCGTGAATAATTATGATCGAAGAGATCTGAAGATTCCATATGAGAGTTATTTCCCTTATCAAGTTATGTATTTGACTTAAGAGAAATGTTATAAAAACTCATAAACCACAAGTGATAGAGACCTAGGGTCTTTTGATTTGAGGTCCTGGGTCCACCAAAAAGAAAATGAGGCCAAGGTCAAAGGTCAAGGTCATGTTTTAATTTTTCGACATTTGGTTTAACTTCATATATATTGATGCATGATAAAGCCATTGGACTTTTTGAATTAGGTTGCCACACACATGACCTTGAAAAAGCCTACTAGAAAAAAACTTTTGTAAACCAGAAGTAGCATTTTTTGTACTTATTTTAATGTAAGTGTATATAGAACCATATTTTTTTGTTTTTATTTAGTCAAGTAAACTATCATATAATACTGGAAGGAACATTTTTCAAACCGGAAGTGACAAATTATCTTTCTTATTTCAAACAAAAGTGTATAGAAACCATATATTTTTAGAATCAGCATACAGTAAGCTATCCTCTGACACTGGAAATGACATCTTGACCCGGACTTTAATATTTTCATATCAAAATATATTGTTTCGGGTGGAAAGATCTTAAATTGTTCTTAATTATGATGAATATTGGTTTAAATGTTTAATGTTTCATAATATGGACAGAAATCAATATTATTTGTTGTCTCCAAAACAATGTTTCCTTGATTGGATATAATATTACTGTATCAAGGACTACACTTCCTTCTAGAATATGTAAATCCTCTCCCGTTCAAATATCTCCAAAACAGCATTAACAGCAGAGCTAGTTGGGACATGCCATCTTTGTCGAAGACTCCCACAAGTCCTGTCATAAGCTGTCAGAAATGCAATGCCCAATAAAACCAGATTATCAGCATAAGGGTTCAAGGCTGACTAGATAGTTATACAGGAAATATTTAATCAAGACAATCACAATCTAACCTTGTTACTCCTCGGATTGAAAAGTGAGAATTGAATCATCTTATATTTGGATTTAAAGAAGAAATCTGCTCATTACCAGAAAAGACATGTTTGCATAGTTATTAGTATCAGATTGTGATTTACAAGATAATAACTACACATAAATAAATATATACATACTGATGAGGTCTAATGACGTATTTTCTCTCTCCATTAAAAAATCAAACCATCCATTTAAAATACCAAGTTCCATACCATTTATTGTTTTGCTACAAAACGTTTAATATTTCAATATAAATTCAACTAGATCAATAATAATATTTGTGTAGGGTTTGTCTAACTTCAAGTCTTCATTCTTTCCATGCTGTTGCCGGTCTTAATTGTTTTTGCAATTTTTGTTCGTCTTCAACTTATGGGTTTTGATTTCCATTTGGTAATGGTATCACATCTTTTTAAAACTGAAATTATGAGTCACAAAACATACTGTATATCATTATTAGCCACCTACAATGTATATTACTAGAAACATTGAAAGAAGTTGAGGTACATCATGCTGCCTCGACTTTAGGTCATTTTCTAGTTTTGTTTTACCAAGTTCAGGTTTGACTGATCAGTGTAAAACAAAAAAGACATTAAATATACTTACTTTCTAAAATCATTTTCTACAAAACAATATCTAGTACTATAAAGAGATCTCTCCAGCATTTTTACAGGTTTCATCTGCAAATATGCAATATAAATATATTACAATTCAATATTTGTAGAAAGGAATTAACTAAGTTAAAACAAGGTACATTATCGGTTATTCATGTTTGCAAAGTAATATAAACAATGCCCATGTTGTGATACCTAGTACACCCACACTCTTTTTTATTTTTAAATTCAAAATATAGAAAAAAAGGAAGTAGGTGTCTCGACAGATCTGACATTACAATTCATCATGGTTGAGATGATGACCTATTTGTAGTATTTGAGAGATACACAATGAACAATTTGAAGTTCATTCAAAATAATGTAACAAGTTAAGTTCATTAAAACTATAGAAAGACTCAAAGAACGGGCAAACAAGAATAAGTTTCCAACAGAGCTAAAAAGTGCTTTTACATTACAACTCATCACTGTCAAACTGTTGACAAACATGAAATCATTCTGTTCAGTAGTTTCTGCGAAAATCTGATTAACATATTTTGATGGACAAATGGACAAGGCGATAGCAGAGGTTTCATAATCTTTCATGTTGACTGGTATATTCCTTTTTGTAGGTGGTATTTTTCAATATATTGAATGAATATAAAAATTCCTAAACTCAGGGGGTATTAATTAGTAGCATAGGAGGGTAAAAGTAACAGGTACCACCACCTAATGAATGGACAGGACGATAGCACTATTATATGGGTTTTGAGTACAAAGATTGAAGATGAAGAATTCATTAAAAGAACACATATTTTACATTATCAACTTACATGAGGCTTGACATGCATCTGTATTCTGGTTAACTGTGCATACAAATTAAATGTAAAACTCCATCTCTGTGGGTCTTCATACAACAAAGCCTGAAAAACATTAACACATTATAATACTCAACATACTTTTCTTTGACTTGTGAGGTCTTTATACTAAATCTGTTGGATGTGTATTGATTGTTTAATCTCAGAAATGACTTATTTATTTGTTGTAATTGGTTTAGAGCTATCTTTAAGAATTGCAGAAACTCTTTAGATCGATACTTTGTGAGTTTTATTTATCCTCATTATTAATCGTAATTCTGAATGTGCCTCACTGCTTGTCCCAAGTCAGTAATCAGTAATTTAGTGGTGGTCAGTTGCTTGCTACCTGTCATATTTGTTTATCATTTGTTGTTTTAGCATAAATCAGGTTGTTGCTATTTTCATTTAAAACATAAAATTTGACATGCCAGAACCTTTTATAAAATGAATTGCTTATAATACAGTATGTTTTGTGTCCATTGTTGAATGCTGTACAGTGTGTCAGTGGCTTATAGTCAGGTTCATCCTTGTCCCACATCTTATTTTAGATCAAATACATTTCATTAAACATTGGTGACCATTTATAATTATGCCCCCCGCCAAAGGTGACGGGGGCATTAAGTGTTACCCTTGACCGTCAATCCTTCCTTCTTTTCCATTTTCGTTACAAAGCTTGAGCTGGGGCATTCGTGTCTTCTCATTCTTTTATTTTTTTCAAATTGTACAATGTGTAATCAGTTATGCACCCAAGTTGAACCAAATGATGAAAAACTATTTTCTAGGATTTATATGATAAAGAAAGAAACCCAAACAATACATGCACAACTATGTATAGTAGAAGGACTTATTTTCCTGGTGCTCTATAAAACTAAATATTTACCAATGCATTATGTCCTTGTATATTTGTCCACTGTTCAACTGGTTCTCTTATAGCCTGCAAGAAAGACATTTTCTTATGTATAGCTTACAATTTGTTTAACATAAGCATCTACCTGACATATCACATCAATAAATAAAGCAAGCTCAAGCAAGTGAAAAATGTACTCCATAAAGAGTTAATTAACATTTTAAATTGTTAAGTAATTTGAATATAATGAATAGAAAATGGAAAAAGCTTTAAAAATCCTATTTTTAGATCATGATCCTTAGCAAACTACTAGGGGGAGATAATGCAGTTATAAGTTATGTTTTTTACATATCATGTCTTACCCAAGTTACAAATCTATTAGTTACTAAACAAGAGTACAATTCCAATATAATATAAACTAGAGGCTCTCAAGAGCCTGTGTCGCTCACCTGTATTAACTGATGCTTTGGAAATCATGTAAAATAAGGTTAAAATCATAATTAATAGTATTAGATATTAGATATTATAATGATATCTAAGATAATAACAAAAAACTTCAAAATTTCTGTAAAATTACTAACTCAGGGGCAGCAACCCAACAACGGGCTGTCAGATTCGTCTAAAAATTTCAGGGCAGATAAATCTAAATCTGATGAACATTTTTGCCACCTGTCAGATTTGCTCTTAATGCTTTAGTTTCAGGGATATAAACCAAAAACTGCATTTTACCCCTATGTTCTATTATTAACCAAGTCGGCCATGATGGTTGGAAGGCAGGGTCATCGGACAAATTTTTTAAACTAGATACCCTAATAATGATTATGGCCAAGTATGGTTTAATTTGTCTCTGTAGTTTCAGAAGAAGACTTTTGTAAGAGATTACAAAAATTTACGAAAAATTGTTAAAAATAGACTATCAAGGGCAATAACTCCTAAAGGGGTCGACTGACAATTTTGGTCATGACAACTTATTTGTAGATCTTACTTTGCTGAACATTATTGCTGTTTACAATTTATCTCTATCTATAATAAAATTCAAGATAATAACCAAAAACTGCAAAATTTCCTTAAAATTACCATTTCAGGGGCAGCAACCCAACAACAGATTGTCAGATTTGTCTGAAAATTTCAAGGCAGATAGATCTTGACCTGAAAATCAGTTTTACCCTATAACAGATTTACTCTAAATGCTTTGGTTTCAGAGATATAAGCCAAAATCTACATTTTACCCCTATGTTCTATTTTTAGCCATGGCGGCCATCTTGGTTGGTTGGCGGGGTCATTGGACACATTTTTTAAACTAGATACCCTAATGATGATTGTGGCCAAGTTTATTTAAATTTGGCCCAGTGGTTTCAGAGGAGAAGATTTTTGTAAAAAGCTAACGACGACGGACGCCAAGTGATGAGAAAAGCTCACTTTGCCCTTCGGGCCAGGTGAGCTAAAAATACAAACAATTCATGATGTTGATTTTATAGTAAACAGTTTTGTAATTTGTCTTACCTCAACATTAGGAGATGATCTGAAGTACTCTAATAATGTAGTCTTCCCACAGCCAATATTACCCTCTACCGAGACCTACAAAACAATAACTCATACAATCTACTGCTAACATTTGTGTAATAAAGCGGTTTGTTAACACAAGTTTTTCCCTAAAATAATGTTTAACGAAGAACAAAAAAGATGCTATGAAGAAAAGATTGTTATTAAATCTATTCCAAGTTATTAGTTTACGATTTTTCAAATTGTTATCATAAAATATGGAAACCTTCTTGAAAAGAAACCTCCAAAACTTAAGATTTTGACAAGGGCTAAATCTAATGATGCAACTTGAATAGGAGTTTCTAAATGTTATGACAATGGATGTGGCCTTTGTGAATAATCTTACATCTTACATTGTATCTTAAACTTTTTTTTAGGGGAGGGGGGCTAGAATTTGGTGTTGATGGCAGATCTTTCATAGTTTCTGTTTCTGTTAAATTGCATCATAACATTTTACACTCATAGAGTTTACAGCTGGAAATATCAAACAACCACTTGTCTATTGTTGAAGATTGTATATTAATCTCTATTTGGCTTTCTATTTGTGGTGTCATTGGGTTGTAATGTCATTGATGAATACCTGAGTTTTCCTTTCATACAAATATACTCACTTTATATCCAGTATGTAAAAACATCAAATTTGTTAAAACGGACAAAAATTTCCTTTATGGTGATTTATTTGGCTGACAAAGTCCAGTGTAGCCCTTGATACTTACTGTATACTTTTTCCCTTTTGGAAGCAAGGCACCTATGTCATTCAGTTTGTTTCCCATAACTGTAAAATAAAATTTTAATGATAAGCTTCAATGGTGGTCTACATGTAGCTATTGGTTGTAGTCTGGTTAAAGTCAATGAACCATGACTGAAGGTGCAGGGCACAGTGTTCTCCCCAGGATTTTTTTAAGGCGCAAAATTCAAGGGCGCGTAACTCTTTTTTTAGAGTGAACGTTTGTGATCTGAAGCAATAAGTCATAAATCATGACATGCAATATGAATTATAATGCTTTGTGTTATGTGTTTAATAATGCAGAGTATTAATGAATTACAAGAATATATATATGAAATAAATTGATTTTAAACAAAAAAGTTATTTATATTCAGTCAATTAAAGAAGTCAAAATATAAATATTCATCTCTACTCTCTGCTCCTTCTAGGGATATTGTTTCAAGATAGTGTTATTTTGTTGGACAGTCTGTTCCTCAACTTTGTCTTTATCCTCTTCAGGGTTAAAAATTAAACCCCCACTCACAATAACTTTTGATTATACCCCCTTTAACATTTCTAAGCCATGAAAACTCAGTCAGCCACTTGTCATTGAAACCAGAAACATGGTGCTTGCTTTTATCAATTGCTAAAACTTGAGCTTGGTTGGGATTAGGAAAAGCAATGAAATCTGCTTATACTGACAGTGTAGACGGAGGTGTATTCCCCTTTTCATTAGAAGTCATTGGTGTGAAAAAAACTTCTACTTCCATCATCTACCTTTTGCTTATAATTCACCCCTTTGTTATTTGCAGAGAACATGTTCATTCAGAATTAATAAAATCGAATATGGTTAATATATTTGGTATACAACTTTTTAAAACAATTTTTTTTTATAAATGAACAGCTGACCAGTTTCCGTAGTTTCACATTACGCTTCCGTGCGTATTATTGTTTAATCCTATCTTTGGCGGATAGATATAAACGAAACTTTACAAATTCGTTAAAGTTAAAACCATTGAAATTATTTACCCAGTGACATTATACAGAAGCTGCGGCGATTCTGTACCCGTGTTGATTGTCACATATTTCCCGACGCACGGATTCACGATCGATGTTCAATGATCATTTTATTTCTACAAATATGACAGTTTCAGACGAATTTACCTTGCAAGCAACATTTTTTCACTTTCTATTAAAGTAAATCACTCCTCGTTATCTTTAATCAAACTTTATTTTAATTGTTTCAACTACTAATACTTTCATTCATAGTTTTCATCGTAAATATCTTTAGCAATGTGTATTCAAATTTATCATGTGTATTCAACACGTTCATTGGTCGTGTTTAAATAGATTCTTCTTCTCGACCAATAAAAAAAATCGTTATATAAATGGTCAAGTGATCACACACACGATGTGTAAATACAATGTATTTGCGATCTATTTCTTCAATTTCTGCACTAAAGTTTTAAATTTTTTTAATTTTCTTCAAAAAATATATATCTTCTTGATGATCATTTAAGCTAATATTACCAGATAACATAGTCCGATAAGGCTGAGATAAGCGTGGCTCAGGTAAAACTAATTATCAGTTAAATTATAGTGCGTAACACTGACCGACCCATCAGCGGTGATCAGTAACTTGACAATTTTAACCAACATTTATAATGAAAATGTGAAAATTAACACGCTGCGGGATCAAGTATTAAGGGACAGCGGCCAATTAAGACGCTGCGGGATCTACAAAAATATAATGAAGGCGCTGCGGCACCGCAGCGTCATATCGGCCTGGGGAGAACACTGGGGCAAAATAACCTCTATGGAAATGAGAAATGCCAATGCTATTACAACTTCATACTAAATACCATTGACTTATTGATTCCTTTTAAACTGTCCTAAACACAAAATTTGACATGTAAACTATATAGTTGCAAAGTTTTTGAAGTCAATAGACCATGACTGACGGGGTGGGCCAAATATTCTCCATGCCCATGGAAATGAGATGTGCCATTAATATGCAACTGCATACTAAATAGCATTGACCTACCACTAGTGGTTCCCCATAAACTGACCTAATCACAAACAAATACATTGTTGATGCTGCCGTTGTAAACAGTACACCTAGTCTTGTTTTTTGACTTCGTTTATGCAAGACAAAAAGTATTTTTGCATGACATCTGGTTATTCAGAGCTATATCTCGGCAAATTCAGCTAAGAATTCATATGGCGTACGAAAACATATATCCTCGTCTCATAGGTTTTCGTGCTATTAAGAATGCATTGTGACGTCACAATTTCCATTGAAAAGCATGCATAGTACGAATTCATATGACGTACGAAATCATGATCTGACCATATGATCTGACTTAAAACAGTGTTGTGGAATAGAATAACAAACAAAAAAACAAATAAGAATGGATTTTTTTCATTTAACGTAGTTAACATATACAAACCATTGCTGTCGATCTGTTTCAATGGTTTTCTTCCCAACATTTTTTCTTTATCTTTCTTCCCCAGAAATTTTTTCCGTCCTGTCCAGCTTTGCGATCGGGCGCCTTGAAGTTTCCCACCAAAAGATCGCATCAAATAAGCCGCGCTATTAACAAGTCTCTGTTGATTGGACAATATTGACAACATAACCTTTGATCAGACCGACATCTACCGGTGACCCTAATGGAAGTAAACATTCGCACTTCAACGCTCATTAATCACTCATTACTCCATTTGACTCCCTTTTTCTGGATTTCACTGCGTTTCACTGCGACTGCTTATGATTTTTTTCAGGAAAAAATATATTTAAGTATGATAGAGAGGTCTTCTAAAATTATATAATGTGGATCAAACGTGCAATCAACTGACTAAATAAAAGCTCGTCATTCCATTCTTCATTCGCTTGCAAGAAAAATTACAGAACTTGTTTCCACTTTTAAGTATTGTTACTACACTATAAATATATTTCTCCAGGTCGAATGTAACAACCTCTAGAAAATATATACCGTCAGCATGCTTTCTGACGACTGGATTCATATGCAACTTATGTGCTGGTAGCACATAATTTTCTACATGGGAAACCAGTAACGGTGCTATGTAGATATATGCCCGGCAAATTTGACCAACCTCTAAACTAAATAAATATACGATGGATTAAATCTCAGTTTCCGTAAAATGGGACACACCACTATTTCAGAATCACTATATATTCAACATTTTTTTTTTCAATTTTCACAGCTCTCAAAAAATTCAATCTAATCAAAATTAAATGCACGACATATCAGAACTGGACTGTAATCTGAGACTACTACAACACATGTGTTATAGTAGTCTCAGGAGTAATTAAAGGATTTAATTTTAGTTAGATTGTCTAAGTCAAACTTCACGAAACTATGTATACATTCTGAATTATATCTTTATCATCTTCAACATTCAACATTCCAATTTCCATCCAATGTTTAAAAATCTCGTAGCTCTCTGATTTTCAAAAAAATAATTAGCATACTATTTAGCACATCCTTAGAGTGTTATAGTAGTCTCAGGCACATCAAACTTTACATGTACTTCTCATTCATAAAAAGTTTCATTCGTGTAAATTTAATGCCAGTTTAAAAAAAAACCTAATACTTCAAAAGCACTATGATTTTAAGTGTAGGGCTACTTTTACATATGTTCTAAATGTGATGATTGCTTGAATTGGTGGTGTTCACCAGTGAAACATATGTACTGGGTTATAGATTGTTTCAAAATATATTTGATCACAGATCGACTACGACCTCATTTCAATACCCCCGTTGATAGATTAAGAAATTATTCTAACCCCCTAAGGTAAAATTGACCTTCGATGAATTTATCTATTATCTTTAGGTCCCTTTTTTTTTGGTCAATTAGCCCCAAACGTTTCTACGTATTTATACATCCCTGGCTTTCAAATATTAAGGTTTGAGTGTTCCTGATGAAGGTACATAAAGAAAATCGTTTCGGAAGCACAGTTATTATAAAAGTGTTATTTACATTTACTAGTAATGGATCGATGCCACTGCTGGTGGACTGTTAGTTCCCGGGTGGCTCATCAGCTCAGTAGTCAAACATGATTTTTAACATATTATCTAAAATTCCTCGTTGATAAATTAAAAAAATATTAGACAAAAAGGTTCCAACTCCACCAGTCAAAGTGTTGACCCTAGACGAATTTGTCTATTCTTTATAGTTCCCTTTTTTGGCCATGTAGCTGCAAACGTATCTACGAATTTATACACCCATGGCTTTCAAATGTTTAGGTTTGAGCGATCCTGATGAAGGTATATCCTTAAATGTTCATCGGACGAAAGAATTATAGTGTTATTTCATTGACTTACAAAATCAGTTTACCTTATTCTAGATTGTAAAAAGAAAAAAAAACTACAACGTAAATGGCAAGCGTACTGCTGGTAACACACACTCTTCATTAAACAACGTAAGTTGAAAACAATATGCCTCACTTGTAACAGGACACCAATCTCTGGGTCCAAAACATATAGTAATAGTAGTTCCCGAAGTCACGGTGTCAATAGAGGGATAAGTTAAAAATTAACTTACTAGATTGAGTATTCGGTGGTCTCATGGTCGGTGAGGGCAGTGAGGGCAGTCGAAAACAACATGATTACGATCCTCACTGAACAAGGGGCCACAACTCAGTTGCATTTTAGTGTTTCTGTTGTGTATTTGTTCTCCTCTTATATTTGATGTGTTTCCCTCAGTTTTAGTTTGTAACCCGGATTTGTTTTTTCTCAATCGATTTATGAATTTCGAACAGCGGTATACTACTGTTGCCTTTATTTATCTCCATCTTTCGTGATGGACATTCAGATTCATTCATTTATTTATTTTTATTTATTTCACTTATTGGCTATTATTATCACACAAATCGAAGCAATTATCAAGATAAGTAGCTTACATTCAACCAGCAATGACAATAAAATCATTTCAAAAATCTGTAGAGTTTTTAATTATAAGCATAACTTCACAACACAGTAGGGACTTTAAAAAAAACCCTCAAAACTTCAGAACTCTCTTGAAACAATACGAAACACTAAGAGATTTTTTTTCAAACACTATGTACTAAATAGGGCGCAACTTCCATACCATGGACATCAGTAATCACTACATTAAGGAATTGACGCTAATGGACGGTTGAGAACAAAACTTTACAACATACGAGATGATTTCAGTTTCACAATTGTGAACTCTCAATTTCTATGTAACAATATTGTAACAGCGTCTGCATATGGAGCATATATCTCCGACCTGATACGATATTTTAGAGCTTGCGTTTCCTATCATAATTGTCTTGATAGATGATTGCTGCGTACAAGGAAGCTTTTGAACCAAGGATTCCAAGTTGTAAAATTAAAGTCAAGGTATATCCATAACATTTCAATTCGTTTGATGTTTGAGCTTTTGAATTTGCCATTTGTTAAAGAACTTTCCGTTTTGAATTTTCCTTGAAGTACGGTATTTTGGTTTACTTCTTTTTACTTTTCATACCTTCGAAAGTTTTATCTACGCTTTCACGATTTGTTGATCATTCTGGAATATCCAGAACGTATATGTTCAAATTGTTGTAACTAGAATCCCTTCCACTTTTCCTTGAGTGCCACATCGCCGAATGAGACTAATAACAGATACAGTTAAGTCTGCCTCATATCTTGACATGCATCTAAAAATTGACAATAAGTGTCGGTTGAAAACAAAACTTTACGACAAAAGAGATGATTTCAGCTTCCCAATAGTGAACTTACCATTTCTATGTAGCAACATTCCAGCAGCGCCTGCATACGGGTATATATCTCCCAGTTGATACGATATCCCAGGGCTTGTATTTCCTATCATGATTTCCATGATAAAGTTTTGCTGCTCACAAGTAAGCTATTAAACTAAGACTTCGAAGTGGTGAAGGTGAAATTATCCCTTTGTAAATTTTATAGACGCCATCACAAGTTGGTTGACCGTTATAGAATATCTTTTTCACAGATGACGACGGATATGTTCCAACTGTCGTTACTACAATCTCGTACCCTTTTCCCCGAATTTGACCTACCGAATTAGACTTATCACCGGGTTTGTACTTACATGCATGAGCAACACGACGGGTGCTACATGTGAAGCAGGATCTGCTTACCCTTCCGGAGCACCTGAGATCGCCATCAGATTTTGGTGGGGTTCGTGTTGCTCAGTCTTTAGTTTTCTTTGTTGAGTTTTGCATGCTGTTGTTTGTCTGTTTGTCTTTTCCTTTTTTGCCATGGCGTTGTCGGTTTATTTTCGACTAATGAGTTTGAATGTCCTTTTAGTATCAATCGCCTGTCTTTTACAACAACTGGGTCGATTTCTCTGCTGGTGGATATTTTGTCCCTGAGGACACCATCCAGCCAGTAGCATTATATGCATGAATGTACGAAGATCAAACAGAATACTAGCTCGGACGTCGCCCAGTTGAAAAAGATCCAAAAACAGACGTCACCATGAACACGCTGTCGTCAGAAATGGCAGGTGTCACTAGACATGAAAAATGTCTCAAAAATGACACATTCAGATCATCATACTAATGACAGCACTAATTTTCGTTCGCGGCCGTGTTCAGTTCATCGACAAGACATTTTGTACTTTTAGACTCGGAACAACACTCTCATTCCTAAATGTCAACCAAATACTGCAAAACCTGTAAAACTTTAATAACAGATGCTCACTTCACTAGCAATTTAACTAAACATCTTACTTTACCAGAAGCTACGATGATCAGAATTGTAAATCAACAAATCTCCTCTACTAATTGGAGTGTAACCTTTGCGGATTTGTATATGTCGGTGTAACGAAAGGAAGGCTTATCAAACTTATGTGCGGCCATAGATCAGACATCAACAACAATACAAGCGGCATTGTTTACCAGTCTGATCATTCAATCCTTTCTATGCAAGTTCGCATCATCGAAAAAAATATACAACAGGACTAATCGTTCTCATCTTGCAACACCTCTCCGTAGTCAAAAGGAAGACTACTGGAATCGACAATTGGGAACTGCGACACCGTATGGTTGCAATGACAAAATTGATGGTTAAGGTTTTCTATGTAGTCCTTCCTGTAGCTCTGTGAATGTGTTGAACATTTTCAACTCAACTCCTCGTAGACGTAGTCATCGTCATCGTCATTATACATCATCTGCTTTCCATGATGTCTCTATTAATGACCTGCTTCCTTTTATTACCCCTTTCAAAACTTCATTCTCTGTACAACTTATGTTTGGAAACCACTGTTACAAATCCCCATTCAAACCAATACAAACTTACAGCTATCATCTCGGATATTGCCAGTCACAGACTTTTCAAACCAGTTCGCATTGGAAAAGATGAAAAGTAGAAAAGATCCTTTATAAAACGTTCCTTTACCAACAAAGGTCTCGATGCCATCAACTCTAGCAATATCCTTCATCATAATTCATTTCGCTCGAAAATAGCTCCCTATATTAAAACTCAGCCTATACCTATCATTTCTTATACCTATACTAAACCAATAGCAAACAAAATTGTCAATTACAAACACGTGTTGCAGGATCTCAAGACTATACCTCCTGATTGCACTGTGCTAGTTCCCCATTCATATATGATCCGACTGGCCACGTTATTACTGGTGACCTAAACATTGTCAATAACACTTATCTGCGAAATCTGTTATCCAAAAGCCCAAAATATCGTGATTGTAAATCCATAAATTGGAAACACAACTTCAAAATACTAGGGATGTCAACTCGGTGAAGATTTACTAATCGAGTACTCGTTGAATTTATCGAGCGATACTCGAGTACTCGCTCGGAAAAACATCAATAGCATGGAAACACAATGCATACCCACTTTACGTGTTGTGGGTCGTTGTCTTATGGACGTAAAACCCTCAACATTATTATAGTCCCAGGAATTTTATACCATAATTAATAGCTCATTTGCTACATGTACTAATTATGTAAACTGGCAATAATCTAATCAATTCATTAATAAACACCTATAGAA